TGTTGTTGAGACATCGCAAGTGGCAAAAAGTGTTGCGTGATTATCTAACGCAATGTTTTCTCCTGACGTATGACTGAATGAATTCAAACTGTCAATAACAGATGTTAATACAAGGTTACTTGGTTACCTTGTAGTCATTTTCGAATCGCTAGTTAGATTTTAAAACGTGATATAATAACAAAACGTTCGTACTTGTATGTAAGTACGTACTCAGTATGTTCTGTATGAGTTATAGAAATCTACATCACGAAGAACATTGTTTTAATGTTATACAAATGAAGTTATTCATTCCTTCAATCACTTGAAAGTAACAAAAACATTATAAATTATGTAAGCATTGGAAGCAAGACAACTAAATCTGTTATGCACGATAGTCGTTTTTACGGTGTCTTTACCGGGGCAAATTATAAACGGGCGATGTGAACGATTTGCCGGTGACATACTCGTAAATATGAGATTGAAAGACGTTCGGACTCAATAGCGGGCCTATCACGAATATTTGTGAAAAGCGCCATCGTATCATCTATAAACTTTGTTTTAAAAGTTTTGCAGCGGGCATAAAGTACACCAAAAATCTCATGCTAACATTACAAATGCGAATGTTTAGATGGACGGATATTTGATAGAAAGTATCTCCGGAACGGCTGAACGGATCTCGATGAAATTTGGCACAGACATAGAATATAGTCTGTAATAACACATAGTTATTGTTTTTTTTAATTCCTCGCTGGTGACTGCTAATTTTGACATAATCGACGACAACAATTCATGATAGGCCCACATTACTTACTGAGAAACGAGTTATATGAGAAGTAGCACTTGCGTAGTTTCATTACAAGGAAAAACTTGTTTTGCCTTATAGGGAAAAATAATGTTTTTGAAATTAATTTGCAAGTTAAATGTTTCAAGAAATTAGTATACCACTGATAGTGATGATAGTTTTGTAATAAATTCGACATAATTAAATAATTACGTATTTTAATCGGAGTAATTAAATGTATCTTAAAGGATAAAAAACAGGTAAAAAATATAAAAATGTTATAAATTCCAGTTAGAATATATTGCAGATAACAAACAGCATTTTTTTTAAAGTTTTTTGACACAATTAAAGATAACTAATCTTACTAGTATTATCTTACTCTCTTACTTCTTACTAATATTATAAATACGCATGTTTGGATGGATGTTTGTTTGAAGGTATCTCCAGAACGGCTTTATAGATCTCCCTGAAATTGGGTATAGCCTGTGTTCTTCCTGCACTTATCGCCTATCTTTTAATAAAAATCGATCGGAAATTATCCAGAACAAACGCGGACTTGCAGGCAGATAGACAGACAGACAGACAATTAAATACATCATATGAAAGAAATTTGTTTTTTTTTTCATAGTTCACGTAGACAATTTTATTAACAGACGATGACTTATTAAGGCGCATAAAACATATATTTATCTAATTTGAACTACACTGAAGCCATTTAAATGTCCGACTTGATTATAAAGTTGCTTAACATAGAATGCAAGGGTATTACTGAGCATAGCTTTAGTGATGCACAATGGAATGTGCAATATAGCAAGGAATGTATGCTTGGTGCTTGTTTGAAGGACGCAGTCATCAATATCGCCTCAACCAATCATTCGCAACCCATACATGTCGATCTCGTCCAAATTCATATTGTACTTGACAATAGTGCACGCATAGAGTGTTATTCCCTTCCTGTAAGTTTCCACAATTCACAGAAAGGTAACAACTAGTATGCGTGTTAAGACGTACGTACGTTCGTATTGTGTATGTGTTCTTCCAGATTATGTTCTACGTCTATGCCAAATTTCAGCCGGATCCGTTCAGCCGTTCTGGAGATACCTTCAAACAAACGTCCATTCATCGATCCATCGATCCAAACATTTGCTCTTATAATATTAGTAAGATTCACATGGTTTGACATATACAAAGCAATTTATAATCATCATCATCATCATCATCAGCTCACTATTCGTCCCTACCGAGGGGCTCGGAGCCTACCATAAGTTAAGGGTGATAAAGCCATAGTCAACCACGCTGGCCAAGTGCGGGTTGGTTGATTTCACACATATCTTTGAATTTCTTCTCAGATATGTGCAGGTTGCATCACGATGTTTTCCTTCACTGTAAGAACGTCGGGCAAATGTACATATGTAAATCGGAAATCGAAAAACACATTGGTACATGGCGGGATTCGAACCCAGAACCTGCAGATTGCAAGTCAAGTGCTTGACCACTGAGCCACCGACAATCCAATTTATAATAGGTTTATCAAAATACTAAAAAAATGTCATCTCTCTCACAATTATAAAGGAAACCATCTTTCATCCATCCATTCATAATTCTTTTATGGAATTTAAAATTGTATTAATTGAAATCAAATAAAATATTCTAACCTAAAAACAATTAAGATAAAATTATTAACAATAAATAAAAAATATTATGAACCACTCGAAATATTTCGAAACAGATATCATTTAGGCAAAAAGCCAGACATAAAAATTGAATACGACAATTTATTTATATTTATGGCAGAGTTTAGTACGCTACGGTGCTCAATTACTGAGCTAAATCGAACATTATTTTACGAGATGACTTGATACATTTACATATTGATTTATATTCAAAAGCAATAAAAAAAATAAACTATGAAATATAGAGCATTGTATCTATGTATGTTCGTAAAACACAGAAAATATGTTCATAACAAATTATGTATGTACTTTACTGTAACTCAATATTACGTCTCTTTAACAAATAAATATTGTACTTCACAATTATTTATATTTTATGGAAAAATGAAGTTATTCAGCAAGGTAAAGTAAACAAGTATTTAAGTAGAAATACGGAAATATTGTCCCATTGTTGTCCGTGACTCCATTTGCGCGGGATAAAAAAACGTAATTAGTGGCCTATGTGTTCTTCCTGACAGCTGCACAAGCTGTTCTGGAGATACCTTTTAAAAAACAACCATCCATGTATGCAAACATTCGCATTTTAGTAAGAGTAAGATTCCAAAAAGTACCCTAAGGAAAATATACAAACGTTACTTTGGAAGATGGCGGTCATAATATTCTTATTTTTATCGAAAATAAAAGGCATAATGTAAACTAAAATTCTAGATGGAACGAGAAATAATCAGAATATTTCAATGCCTCAGTTCATTGAAACAACAGCGTTTCTCTACAATACAAAATCGTAGACATTTTTATCTTTGACACAATATAACGTGACACATTGTTTATTTAATGATATTTCCATGTGTATCAGAAGATATATGACGAGAATTATTACACAGATCCACACACGTAACATTTATAAACAGGCTAACATGTTTCGTCAATAAAAACATACCTTATAACTGTTTTCATTATCTCACACGTCACGTTATTTGGTTTAAGAAACAATGTGTAACTTATAAACTGTTTTGTAAGATTCCTACTCACTAAAACTCCTCGGTGGCCAAGTGCGACTACGAGGCTCCCGGGATCTCCAATTGAACACACCAGGACTTACAGCAGTGAGCTTCTAGCTTGACTCCAGGAAAATAATTTTTTTAACAGAAAAAGACAAACGAGCGAGCGGCCACCTAAAATCGCTGAAATAGCGAAGTGACCGTTGCCCATAGACATACGCAATTGCATATGCGTTGCCTACCTTTAATCGACGGAGGAGAGGATGCATAGAAAGAAAAAACATTTTCCCTTTCCATGCATTCCATCCGGAAAGTCTACTTCCGCTTCCCATCCTTTCCTTATAAGAAAACGGGTGGGAAGGGAAAGTGGAGTAAATTAGGCCTCCGGGACGCACACTCATCAGACGAAACGCGGAATTGATTCCACTTCACGCCTGTCTTCTGTGTGGTCGTGGTATTTCACCGGGCGAGTCGTGCCAATTCGCGCGAAGATGTTAAAGCGGGCTCTACCACTGTTTCTAGTGCCATAATAAAGATTTATAATGTATCGTAATCAACCTTAAAACCTCCGTGTGTACGTGGACTTTTTAATGAGTCAAGTTTATAATTTGTTGACAGTTAATAATATATTTAGTGCGATAAAAACAATAACAGGTCACTGATTTAATATAAATAGACCTTCCCTGTCTTGCCTAAAGCCAGCTACAGACCTACAGTTTTAACTGCAGTTTAACCTAAACAGTTTTAATTGTACAATTTAACTGTTTTCACTGCGGAAAGACCGGTACAAAACATATTGTTATCTCTTTTTTATTAAAGAGATTGTGCGAGTACAATGTGTTTTTTGTATCACACTTTCGGCAGTGGAAACCTACGTCATGGAATATAATATGTAAATAAGTGCACTGCTTGTCATATTATCGTTCATAATATAATTAACCACAAGGTTTCTGTGGTGCCCCATAACCAATATCATAAATATAAAAAACATAGTCATGTAAAAACACGAGCACTTATACAATAAGTCAAAACAAATCCAACTCATGAGAAAATGTCACTCTGTATTATGACACTAGTTCTTGTCCGCGACTTTGTCTGATTGAATTAAAAAAAGGTTGGCAAGTTATTTCATGTTGTACTCTAGTATATGTTTTGTACCTGTGCAAAATTCCAATAAGATTTGTTGAATTATTGCGGCGTTATCGAGTAAATTAAAAAATATATTTTGTTGTTAGTTCTTGCATTTTTAAAAGCAATTAGGTACGTTAGACAGAATTGGATTGTGGACATAGAATAATAATGTTCTTTTTGGTTTTATATTTTAAACTATGTGAATCTTAATAATACAAAAAAATATGTTTTATGCAAATTATATTAAGTTTCTATTCCATGTCGCAAGAAACGACAAAGAAGGCTTTGCCTTGAGTATAAAAAAAATGTGTCGATGAAACGGAAATCATAGAAGAACAACTACGCAATTCGAATTCAATCTTATGCAATTTAAAATTGCAAATTCTCAAATAAAAAAAAAACTAGGATGTAATTTTAAACTCAATGGAATCTTACCGTATGCTAATTGAGTTAGATCGAAGAAAACAACACAATACACTAAACAATTCACTCTCACTGATTCTATTTGATACAATATTAAAAAAAACAATCGTCAATCAATGTAGTACTTCAATAGTAATGTTTATTAAAACACTTTACATGAAATAACGAAAAGAAAATTAATTAATCGGAGAGAATACGACCACTTCGCTCGGACGCGCGAATCTCACTGAGTGAATTCCCGTTCCACTAGACGGAGTTACGCCAGACATCGGGCCATCATACTGTTACGTCACTCGCGGCCCGCGGCAGCTATTCAACTGTCAAATGTACCGTGCTGCACAGCGACCCTGGGCATAAGCTATGGGATGTCACAGAGTACTACGATATCAAACCTACAGCAAATAAAAATAATTTGGATAAGTACATTAACGCAACATTTTAAGTGATTCTAGCTAATCTTTTATCTTTTTAGAAAACTTTAATGGTCAACAATATAACGAAGACCGTAGACTATTTCAAAATGTTGCTTGTTACGATCAACACCCTGTATATTTCTGCCATCATACACCCCCAGTGTGTAATCCGTGGACCTGAGTGGGTCCACCTGAACCACATCAATAATCATGGATAAAGATTCTACAATACCTTATAAATTCTTAACTATTAAATCATATGCCATTTACAAGACAAGGTTTATTAAAGTCCGTAAATCATAACATTATTACGAAAAGTTATTTCGCGTTCATTGTGATTCACATAAGTCAAGGTTAGTTATTGAAGTCTTGCAAGCTTGGAATAGTTTTAAAATCTTAATATTTATAATTACGATTTCATTGAACATATACAAACTATATTAAATAATAACCAAGTAATATTTCAATTGTATTCTATCACACGATCTATTGAATTTTAAATATAATTTATAATTCCTCAAGGAAAAACTTTGAAAACAAAATTATCGCCTTCCAAGGACTTTTAGCTTTGACTTTAATTTAATAAAAAAAATTGGACCCACTTGCAAGCAAAACCTTTTGATAAAAAAAATTAAATCGGAGCACCAGGGCCGGAGTTGCGCGGTAACACACAGACGAATTGATAACCTCCTCCTTTTTAAAGTTGGCTAAAAAATAGACCAAGAGAAGCGAAATCCTTAGTAAATTTGTTTCGCATATGTAGCATATGTCCTAAGTACGAGTAAAATCAGACTCTTATTTTTAAAACAATTGCTAGTTTAATTTTGTATATTAAATTATTTTACTACTATTAAATTTATGACCTAGGGTCAAACTAGGGTTTAGATTTGAAGTCAAATTGAAAGTCACTAAAGGCAAATAACCAAGTCCAGCTATTAACTGTAATCATTTAAATAATTGTTTCAAATTATATTCGAGTAACGGCTTGCGAAAATACTTCATTATTCAAAGTAGGAGATTTTAGGTGAGACTGAAAATTAGTAGTGCTTTAGGAGAAATATGGAGTGATTAATATGGGCCAAAGCCCCGGGCAAACCCGGCGCCGCAGTTTAAGACCCTTTTCCACTAAACGACAGGCCGGGAGTAATTGAGACTGATGTTTCTATGAACAAATGCGCCAGTGGAATTGGTACTTATCGTTCTACTTTATCCGAGCGCCACTGACAGCTCGTGGTTAGTCGCGAAGTGGAAAAGAGGTTTTAATTTGGTAGATGCCTTACTTCTGGAAAATATCAAAGGCTTCAAAGCCTTTGGAGCAAAATATGCTGTATGTTACATGGTATCTCTATTTTGTATTAAGGGTTTATACAATCTTACTTCTTACTAATCTTACTAATATTATAAATGCGAATGTTCAGATGGATGGATGGATGTTTGTTTGAAGCTATCGTCTCGCTTAAATTTGGCATAGATAGAACATAGTCTGGAGGAACACATAGGCTACTTATTAAGTTTGTTTTTAATTCCGCGCGGACGGAGTCGCGGGCGACAGCTAGTTTAAACTTAGTTTGTCAATAAAATAAAGATTGGTTTTTCTTAATCTTTTTGTCGTGTTATTTCTACATTACATGATTTTCTTTACTGATATCCTTTTCTTGTTAACTTTAATGTGGTTATTTCGTTAAACCCTGCTTTTGATGTAAATGTTACGCTTAGAAAGTTAATAAAGTTGAATCTCATAATGTCCATCAAGATTATACTTGGCCGGGTTTTAACAAGAGTTATAACTTGAATTTCTTATGTCTTACATTTAATGACACTTAAATATAGGAACAGTATTTGAATATTATTAATCAAACTTCTCAAATTGAGAAAAACGTCAAATAATTTGACAAACACGTACAAACACGCAATCACCCGGTTTGTATCATTTTCAATCTTTATCGAGAAAATAAGCATCAAAGAATTTTATTAGAATAATACTAAAGAGCAATTATTATTTAGCGGTTGGCTATTAGTTCAAGGAAACCTCAATCAGAAAGAAAACTATTTTATATTCAATGCACAGTGTATTGAGTTAACTACGGCCTCAATTAAGATAGCATTCCGCGTATCGACGATCGGAAAATATTCTCAACGCTATCGAGTCAGAAACAAAACAACAATCACTATATTTAACATATCATTAGTCTGTGGTTATAAGTTATAAGCCAGTATAGTCGAATTCAATTACTTTAAATCATTTAGTTTAATTCTAATTTAGGTGTTTATTTGATATTCTAAGGTAGAGGTGCTAAAAACAACTAGAACAGAAATGCTTATACGCTTTTATATATCACTCCAAATTAAAAACCGTAATCTCTGCCAACCCCTTTGAGTTACAGGAGTTGTGTTGTTAAATTAAGAAATTTTGTATCGCTTTTATCAGATTAGGCTTTTTACGCAATATTTAATGGATAAATAACATTAAGGTAGAAACGGAAATCTATCTTTTTCACGAGATATTATCTATCTAATTAAGCATAGAGCTAGCTTTAGTGCGGAATCGCGTGTTTATATCTATTTCGAATGCTTACCAATTTTGTTCGTTATTGTAAGTATTGATTCTCTATAGGTTCTTAAAGCTATTTTTCGCCCGCGATTCCATCCGTGCGGAATTAAAAGAAAATTTAATTAAGTTCTTCCAGACTATGTCTTAAATCTATACCAAATTTCAGCGACATCTATGCAGCCGTTCTGGAGATACCTTCTAACAAACATCCATCCATCTAAACATTCGCATTTATAATATTAGTAAGATAGTAAGCAGTAAGATTAAAGCTTAAATTGGATACTTTTACACTAGATAAAATATGGATATTAAATTCAATCCGTGAAATAGTGTTCGTGTGAAATGAAAATATAATAAGCGATGGAAAATTGAAACGAACTGAAATAGAAAAATGTTGAATATCTCATATTAAAGCCCGAAGCGATCTCCCGAATGGAGAGTTATCGACATTTTACTAGATACTAAAGTTGTTTGCGTTTTCAGATATTTTTGTTAGTATTGAATTTTGCCACGAACTGATACTTTATAGTAGAGTTTTAAAATTGATTCCCTTTTTTGCCGAGTAATCGTTGTAATCAATATGGAAACTCTTAAATCGATGTGAATTACTAAATACTTTTTATTAAAGTACAATAAATATTCAATACTTAAACTCTATCGATCCATTTTGCGCGTGAATTTTCGAAATTTATAGCGATCTTTAAATCGAAAGATTTAAAATATAAAAATGTTTCGAGATCGATTATTGATTTCGGCACTAATGTTTTTGTAAGAAGTATTAACATGTTTATGTCGAGATCGATTATTGATTTCGGCACTAATGTTTTTGTAAGAAGTATTAACATGTTTATGAACATAAAATATTCACAATTTGTTGGTAAACATTCTTATAAGTTGTATATATCTTCGTAGTGTAAAATAAGTCGTCGTAATTACAATAAAAACCACGCGTTATGATTCTTAAGGAATGCATTTCTATTTTATTACAAACGATTATAATTTCTCATAAACTTTTACTCGACTTTCAACTATTAAACTCGTGCGTAGAAGCTTTGCCGATGTCATGACGTAACGCGTGAACTGACGTGAGTGGGAAAGAGACATCGTCAAACCTGCACGCGACTAATATTGTCAATTTGAATGAAATAGCAATCCAGAATTATCATTCTGGTATGTGTGTATATCTACACACATAGACACATTTTTTATATCATAAGGTGGCAAGCGACCACCTGAAATCGCTGATATAGCGAAGTGACCGTTTCCCATAGACATACGCAATTGCATATGCGTTGCCTTACCTTTAATCGACGGAGGAAAGGATGCACAGAGAGAAAACATTTCCATGCATCCTCTCATCCGGAAAGACCACTTCCACTTCCCATCCTTCCCTTATAAGAAAAAGGGTGAAAAGGGAAAGAGGACTAAATTAGGTCCGGGACGCACACTCATCAGGCGAAATGCGGAATTGCTTCCACTTCACGCCTATCTTCTGTGTGGTCGTAGTATTTCACCGGGCGAGCCGGGCCGATTCGTGCGAAGATGTTAAAGCGGGCTCTACCACTGTTGAAACCACCTTCAGTGCCAACGAAAGTTGCGAAAGCAAAAAAAAATGTCGTGGCATCGTGTTTAAACCGTCTAAAAACCCAATATCATTTTAATACAGATTAAATCACAATTTAAACAAATCAAACAATTCATAAGCGGCACAGATTACAATAATTCCAGTTCCATCAAAATGGTCGATTAAATATTGTAACAATGTAATATTAGACAAGGATACGTTAAATATTTTAAACAAACCGCAAACACAGGCCCGCAGTAATCCGATCCGCGGCTCGTTTCCAATTCAAATGCTCGTTCCAACGCACGGCTGTGCTTTGTCCGCAGCTGTATCGAACACGGACTTTGCTACTAACTTTTACTTCAAAGGGTTTAATTTAAAAGTGTTTCCTATTGCGGTTTGCGTTATTGTGGTAATAAAAACAACTAAACAACGACAAATCTGAATACGTAAACTACGAAGAGATGTTAATTAAACAAATAAATTCACTCTACTGACTTAAGTCCAGGAAAGAATTCAAATCCAACGATACTTCCCTAAAAAAAATCGTACAAGCTACCGTGGGTGTCCTCCTCTCTAACATCTATAGAAAGAATATTCTCTCTATTTTTTCAAAGCTAATGAGCGGGATAACAATATGTTTTTGGTACAATTGTTACAAGAGGAGAAACGTATAGACAAAAAACATAACCTTTTTTCCGAGTTTACTG